GAAGTTATGTAAAACAAAATGCCAACCACCCGGACACTTGCTTTTAACCCAGCCAAGAGACTGGTAGGGACTTACAACTTCCGGCATATCTTTCCTTGAGAAAAAAGTGCTTTAAGTGGGTATTTTGGCTGCATTTCAAAATGGAATTTTCAACATCCTTCGACTTTTTCAACCAGTCAAATATTTGTTTTAATACGTCAAGTACTTCAACATTTTGGATATTTTGAACCTCCTTCGACAGGTATTCGGAAAGTACTAAGAGTACTAATTACTAGCATCCATGCCCAATGGCCCCTGGAAACTTGTAATTATAGTCAAGTACCAAATTGGGAGGGAGTAGTGCGACACATCGTATGTTACTGACATCATTTACTCCGTGTCAAATATGCTATTCGCTTATCACTGCGTGTTCAGGCATTTCGATCTGTATCTTCACACCAGCTCAGAAAAATATTTAGATTCTTTTTTTTTTGGCGCGTTATTCGAAAAAGACCCCTCGTAACAAATATGCATGTTGTGACGTCCTAAATTGTTTTTAAACAACTTCCAAGAATTGTTTTCAGTCGCTCTGAAGTTTTTTAGGTTCTTGGGCTCATGAATTTGCTCCATATTTGATACGTTTTCGAGACATAAGCAACTCAATATTTTAATAAGTGCAATATACGAGTTACCATTTTCGACTTCTGAAAGCAACATGAAAAAGCAAACATTCCAATATTGCCAAAGTTCCTAAATATATTCCTCATTCATTTAAATTCCAAAGCATCTTATAGGGGGCATTGTTTTTTGTTGTTCTGGATGAGCACACGTTTACCCCTTAAGATGGTTTGAAATTTTATTGATGGATGTTTGCAGAATATTTGTCAACGTTTTTTTTTCATACGGTTTTCAGATGACAAAAATAGCATATTTTGTACTTTTCAAATGCTAATTTGCTTGTATCTCGAAAACTATTAATTTTATAGTAAAGTCCGTAAGAACGTGGTATGTTCACAATCACAAAAGGAGCATTGTCTGTAGCGAAAGTAGCAATTTTTTGTATTTGTTTAAACAAGTTTTTGACGCAATTTTGCACTTGGAAAATGCGGATTCAATAGGATACTGTTTTGAATAAAGTTATGCAAAACAAAACGAATCGGAATATTTTCCCTATTTGACTCACCGCATCAGCAGTCGCGTACGACTTCTCTTCCAGTTTGGTACTTTATACGTTTTTACTTCTCTGGGTAGGGTAACCTGATTATATGCTTCGTAAGCATGATGTTTTCTGACGCTGATAGCTTTTAAATATGGACTATGGCAACTCAATATAGTAGATATTCTTCTATTAACATTTTTTTACACTAGTGAAACGTACATCCCATATCTGATTCAATTTCCTGACTATGAAAACAAATACCAAATTCAACTACATAGGCGACCCATCGCACATTTTAAAGAGAGGAGGACAACGACGGATCTGTCTGAAAATGTTTCGAGTAGTGTGCTCCCTTCATTCCTACATATTTTCTCTTATTTTTTCCTACATTAGTTTTCCGGTGACCAGGCCAACAAATTGACAAATGGATTCATAAGGTCTAACAGACTGTTTTAGTAAAAATCCGCAAATTGATTACGAAAATGAGCAATGATATTGCCACTGCTCGATTTATTGCTATTAAGGTACCTATAATTTAGTATGCATTTAGCATTGTTCTACTTGACTGTTAAGACTTCCTACAGGGTGCGGCAGAGTGGGCAGACGTTTTTGGGATGGGTAGTTCTCTCCGCCTCCGTCTACGAGAGAGGTGGGGAGGGTGCCGTTTGACTCGTGAGATCCTAGCATTATTTTACCAGTTGTCGTTATGGAGCCTTGGACGGTGGAGCACCGCGTTTTTGCCTAACGACGAAGCCCACTTTCACCTAAACAGCATGGTTAACCAGCAGAATTGTCGTTATTGGGCTAATGAAAATCCGCAACAGTTACACGAAAGGCCGCTGCACAGCCCAAAAGTAACGGTTTGGTGCGCTGTATCGCAAACTTGCATCATTGGCCCTTACTTCTTCGAAGACGGTAATGGTCGTGATGTTACCGTGAACTCAGAGCGCGACATGATCACCAACTTCTTTCTCCCTGAATTACGACGGCGACGTGTTCCAATCCGACGTGTGCGGTTCCAGCAGGATGGGGCGACCGCCCACACAGCCCGAGCATCCATGGACGTTATTCGCCCTCTCTTCCCTGGTCGCCTTATTTCCAGGTTTGGCGATGTTCATTGGCCTCCTGGGTAACCCCAGATTTATCCATATGCGATTTTTTCTTATGGGGACAACTCAAAGCTAGAGTATACGCGAACAAGACCCGAACTCTGGACTAATTGAAGGGCGAAATTCGCGTGGAAGTCGCCAAAGTTGAGAGAGCGATCTTGGAGAGTCTACGCGAACTTCCAAGAACGCCTCCAAGCACTGCATCAACGATTTCGGCCACCACATGCCTGATGTGATTTTCCACACTTGACTGCCTCAAATGCTATTTCCTTGTGAACCTGATTCCATCAATACATTTGTTTTCAAGTAAAAATTAACTATTTTATGATTTTTTTAAAACCGTTCATCCTCTCTGCCGCACCCTGTAGTTTGTGACATACACCTATAAGTTAGATAATTGAACTGACAAGTCCCTAGGCTCACTAAAACGGCTTTGTGACTGTTGAAAGGGCTCGAAAACAGAAGGAAACGTTTTGTAGCGATATTTTTTGTACTTGGGCAATTCAGTATGTCTCGACATAAATCTTAATCTTACTAATTGTATGAAAATAATGCTCTCCATAATGTAACAGCATTAGATTCACAAACAAGAAAAAGAACGATCTGAAAATACCAAGGAGGTGCACACTAAAAGTGGACAGCAAAATAGTTCAGTAAGAAAGTTTCAACTATTTTGGGAGTACTGATGCATAGCTATACAGATACAGAGAGGAAAGTTGTCCAGCAGATAGTGGTCGTCTCATACAATATGGGGCAGAACCAGTTAAACAGAAATAGCAGAACCAGTTAAACAGAAATAAAGGCCAAAATTTATAACAGTATTGAGGACTATTATGGAATATTGCAGAAACAAGACCTGGTACCAAAAGCATAAAAAGATTCATTAAAATGTGAAACAGAAGAGGCCCCATAGACACCATAGCTGGATTTAGGTGCAGGCTTTTAAGAAAATTTAGCCAATTCTTGTTTATACCATATGCCAGTAATATTGCAACCCAGAACTTTGCAACTTAATTTTTGACCACTACCAGATGAAATAGGATTGGATAAATTAACGCCATTAACTACAGAGTTCCAGTCTGTCGGACTGTTTAAATCTTTTACCAGCTAGCACGCCACTGTGCAACTGATTTGGACAAATCTGGCACTTTTCCACCCAGCAATTAACATCACAGTTTGTTATTCCATATACTAATTTCGATTTCCATGGATGTAACAAAATTTGAACTTTCTGCAACTATCACAGATTTAACATCATTCCACCCTTCAATTGCAGATAACTAAGTGTCAGTCATAGACATATTTTAGTTTTCAATCATCTTTCATTAAAAATCCCACTATACTTCAGAATTTTCATTAAAGATCTTATCTTGCATGAAATGAACTTTGGTTTACAGTAAGTGAATTCTAAATACAATATTGCTTGAATGGGCAAATTCTTGAAATATTTAATGTCATTCAGAGACTTCAAACATGAAACTTACCCTTTTCTCTTTCTTATCAAAAGCTCTTAAATAAAATGGAATATTCTGCTGAAGTTGTATATTTTCCGATTGTGTTCTTATAAATTTTAATCAAAAATCCCATGATATTCCACCTTATTTATGAACCTCTAGCAAGCAGCACAGCTCCAGCAGACCTTCGAACTTTTCCAGTAGTTAGTGGCACACTCTTACTGCAGCTCTCAATATATTTTCGTTTCAACGACATTCCAATTCCAAAAACTGATAAGGCCAAAATAAAACTTATCTTAAAAAATAAAAATCAATGAGAATTTGGCAATAAGGTTTTCAAAAAAAAATTTAGAGTAATTTTTACAAAAAGAAATATCCTTAATGAAAAAAAATACATTTTTTTTTATTTTGAAAATGTAAAATTCCACAGTGATCAAGAAAGAATTCTATGTTCAATTTTTGAAATCTAAGCATTATTTACATTGTGCAAATACTGTGGAATGATACGATTTTAGAATGCCGTTGTATACCCACCTTCCATTCTTTTTTTTTCACTTACTAGCTTTTATATAAACTAATCTATTCATAAATTGGCTATATATTTCCGTTTCATCTTATACAATACTTTTGGATTATTTACAGATCAAAAAAAGGTACGATGATTATGGCACACACATTTACGAAAGTGACTAGACTCGACTTATTTGGTAACGTTTCAAGACTTTACTGGGGCCTTGGTGTTCATTATTTTTTGAGTTACTAAATTTCAAGTTCAATATAAATTAAAACTAGGAAGACATGAATATTGGGAAGTCAATCTGAAATCAATTGCGAAAAAAATAATTTAGAAAACGCTGTATATGTTTGAACAAACAACCAACTTGAAATCAAGTAACAAGCACTAGCAAGGCTTGATCTTTTTTTTAAATCTAACATGTGAAAAATCTTTGGTTAATTCACGACTAGAAATCTATCTGGTTCTAACAACCGTAACTACTTTGCCGAATTTAGGAGGCATCACACTGTGCTTGTTTTCAAAATGTCTTTTTAAATTCGACTGTTGATGAAATTTTCTGAAACAGTGTGAACACTGAAATTGTGCTTGTTTGCCGCACTCATATACCATATGCCTACGCATGTTGCCACGATGTTTGTAGATTTTCCCGCAATTTCCGCAAGGAAAACCTTGGGTAGATTCTGCATCTAAATGGCGAAGATACCATTTAACATCGCCTGCAAAAATATACTGCTGTACTAGCAATTTTGTTATTTTTTTCTATCTCTGTTTTCAATTTTTCGGCCCAACATTTAAAACACATTCCAACATAAATGATAAATGGGTGATAAAAAGGGGTGATGCAGTAAAAGTAAATATATCTTCAAAATATATGTATTGATTTTTTTCATATTTCAAAACAATATTTGAAGTCTTCTTTCGAGGGAGGTACGAACGCCAAAAATCTGTAACAATAGAGAAAAGGACCATAAGCTTCCAATTAAGGCTATTAGTGAGGAATGGTCAAAGATGTTGGAAGTTCCACAACCTGCATGGATATTAGAAACTTATATGTTCAAACTGACTAGCCAGATTTTCACATTCTATTAAAAATGATCATAATTCATGTGAATTTTATAATCTTTTCAATGTTAGTAATGATGAAAATCTGACTAACAAGAGATTAATATTATTGAATTTAACCCTTAAAAGTTGACCCTATGACTTGATCTACCTGCATGTTTCACTCTGGTCACCAAATGAAACGATGTAGAATTGAAACATTTTCCGACATTTCAACAACCTCAGTAGTCAGTAAATATATTGATTCTACATCTTAAATAAGCCAGTGAAACATGCAAGATTGCTCAACTTTGACATAGCAACTTTAAAGATCCATGTTCTAAAGATAAAAAAAATAAGGAATCTACAACATCCTGGAACCATAATTATCAACAATTTGTTTACCTTTTATCATAAACATATTTCACTGGAACTTATGCAGATGAATCTAGACAAGCTTATAAGATTCTTGAACATAATATCCAAAAGTAGAGATATCAATTCTTGAATAATAAATAAACTTGTCCATTTTTCTATTTGCACAAACTACATGAATTCTAAATTTATGATAAAAGGTTACATGTATGATGTAAAACTAGAATGTGAAGTTCATCAAAAGGAAATAATATCCTCACAGCATTGAAACAGCCATCATGGCAATCTAAAGTAGCTCAAAAAGCAATTGACTGAACCACATTGTTAAGTAAATGTAGTTCTAACCAGTTCATTTACAATTGGCCACTATTACCAATCAACAGTGCTACACTACAATGCATGACAATCGATTTGAAAATAATTGTTCAAGCACTAATAAATGATCAAGATACATTTTAGACAGAACTGATCAGAAACAGGTTGTATCTTGAGACAAATATTCTCACCTGTTCAATCACAAACAATTTATGTGAAGCACAGAACTAGCAGCTAAAATTGAGACAAGAAAAAAAGAAACAAACCTTCATAAATGGTTCCTCTTGACCAAGATGAGCTGACCCCATGGATCTTCGTTTCTTGATGGTGGAATGAAAATACGGAAAAAAGGGATCATGGGATGGATTTAATAGGAACTAGGAATACATGGATATCAACGACGTCCTAGGATGACTGGATGATTCTTGATGTATTTAATTTCAATTTGGAAAATGTGAGTTTGAAAATGATATTTCAAAGAATGAAAAATCCCACCGCCTTTCCCAAACCGCGTGTCACCTTTTCTTGAGGAAAGATGACAAGTGGTCTACTTAGCTCAAAAATCAAGGCCATTTGGCACTTTTAGCACATTTATACTTGACTATTATACAAAGGAGTGGTCTGATCAACAATATGATTGAACTTTTTCTCATGATTCCTCAAAATATCTCTTCTAGAGAATTTTCTTGAACAGACCTGACATGAAAATTTTCGAGCTACTCCACACTCATATTTTAGATGTCTTTCAAGAGTATAATGGACTGAATACCCCCTCCCACATCGGTGACATCTATAAGGCAATGGGTCTGCAAATAAACATCCATTCAGTCACATTCAGAATACCAACATGGTTTTATGCAGACTGATCTTTAAACTCAGCTTTTAGGTTGTCCAGTTACCATCAACCCATATTAATTAAGTATAATACAGTTTGATGAAAACTGCGACGATGCTATAAAACCAAATAAAAATCAGTACTACAGTTATGTTGGCCCTCTATTCCAAGCAACATTCATACAGCAAGCAGGCCCATTCCTTTATAGATACTCTTTGCGTTATGTTTCATACAAATAGTAGCTTAGGCATGTTTCTTTTGAGAAAATATTTCATAACCTTAGCAAATAAGTGTATGGAATATAACCTTCATACCCCCCCCCCCCCCTTTTGCACTGCCTCAGTGTTAGAAGCAAGCACAGCCACACAAGTTATATCTCACGTGGCAGTGAAACTGCACAGCTGCATGGTTGTGTCGGGAGTATACAAAGGTTTAAATCTTTTGTAAAGCACAATTACCTCACTGTGTGATAAAAAACCACACAGCTACATTATATCTGAAAGAGTAAATTAATAGTGTACACTACTTCTAAATCACGTCTTTCCACAATACTGTGAGCAAGCAGGATCAAAATTCAACTCATTTTCATTCACAAAAAAATACCTCACTGTGTAAAAAATATTACACAGCTACATATGTAACTGCATCAAAAAGCCACAAATAGTTACAATTAAAGTAAATTGCAAATATTCATGAATTTCATAATAACACAAATGATTTCCCAGAATGCAGTAAACCACTGCTGCAATAAGGATGAATGTATAACATTCAAGCAACATTGATAATCTGTGGAATATATCTTGAAGCCATTCTAAAAATGAACCACAAATTTTTGAGGATGTCTGTTCAAGCACTACTACTGCCGCCGCTATAAAAAAGTTGTCAATATTCACAACCAAAGTTGATTGCAAAAATCAACTCGAGTATTACCAAAATTTCATATCCTACAAATAATCGCAATTGAAAGTAAACAGACAACATTTGCAGGATCATGAAATAGAGGCTTACGATTTTAATGTTACAAATATTCTGTGGATAGAAACTTATTAGTTATGAGAGCTATATTTTAAAACTATTTAATATCTGTAATCAAGTGACTACAAATAGAAACAAGCTTAGAAATTTTAGCTCTTCCAAAATGTTACTGCAAGTGATAAACCAAGATTCCAAAATCCTGAGATGTTTGCAACAAAAAGTAAATGCAAACAAATCAAAATTTCGATACAATGGTTATCTCAGTATACAGATTTGCTAACATCAAACTAAATTTGATAAAATCGGGAATATATGCTAAGTATCCTGCCTATAATCCCAAAATTGCTCAAAATATAGTTTTTGTTTCACATCAAACACTGGAACTTCTGAAAAGTAACTTTTTATCAGGTGTTTCAACATCATCATTAGCAATAAATAAATTGCTAATAACATGTTTTGCTCAAATGTTTTTGCAGTGTGCTGAAAAAATCTTGAAGCTACAGCAATAAAATTATTGCTGCAATACCAGTCTAAAATACAGTTTTGAAAACACAAAAGCACTTCCATATGACAACAAACAGATCAATAAAATACCTCACTGTGTATTTTATCCAATACACAGCTACAGTTTTAAGCAAATTTCCTAAGCCACATCTCAAAATTGAGATGTGGAAGCCTATTGCATAATTCAAGCAAAAATGCTTGTTATGCAGAATCTTTTTGCACAGCAAGTCGATCATTGTGAAGAACATTTCAAAACATTAACCTATTTACAAAATTGGTAAATAGGAAAATATAATGAACTGCTTTCTTTTGAGCTTAGAGAATTCTGTCAACTGACAGAATTCTCAAAACTGTAGCATGAATACATGCAACAGTTGCACATTGGTAGCTAGTAAGGTAAATCCAAAATAGCTACAGATCAACATTTGAAAATCAACATTATAGCAATTAGTGGAAAGTACTCAAAAACCACTATACATGTCAATTTTCTTGATGATGCTCCAAATTTGTTAATTAAGTATAACAAATTCAGAGGACATGTGTAACAAGACTAAACTGTAGCCATGTCACCAACAATGAAAGAAATATACAATATACAAAAATTGCATGCACATGATAAGATACATGTTAGACCGAAAAGTTGAAACATGAGATAGAAGGCCAACAATGTATAACCAACAAACAATATTCAACTGTAATATGAACTGTAATGAATGAAATAAAAGCATTGAATATTGTTAGCTGATCAAAAAAATTACAAAACCCAGACATTGATGCTTACATTCCTATGGCAAAATATTGATGTGTTAAAAGAAGACAGGTGATAAAAAAATAAAAAAAAAACAATGAGCATGTTCTTTGTAAAAAGTGGGAGAAACAAATTTTTCATCACTAAACACTGAGACGTCAGTCCCTGATTGAAAACCAAAATGTTTGCCATGATGAGAACCATGAACAACTTAGAAGATTACTTTTTTATGGCAAGATATCTCTGCACATCCACAAAATCAGTCCATGTAAGTAATGAACAAACTTGAGAGTGTACAGATAACATCAATTTGAAAGAAGTAATGTTCTAATCTATGAAGAATGTGAAGAAGGCAACATTTTGATTTTATATCCATTCTCCCCCTTCTTACCTTTGCAGCAAAGTTGAACATTAGTTACCACTACATTTGAGTGGAAACACCAACAGGAGCTACAGTAATTAGAATCTTGCATCAACTATGAGAATGTTAAATAATGAAGATATTTCATGGTTTACTAGAACAATGCTACTAGCTTTTTTTGACAAGCTTATAGAGCTGTTTATGCCACTGGGAATATTCAAATGCTATCAGCTTTTTTTCAAATCCAGTAGCAAAAATAGCCATAAATGCAGTTAGAATATTTTTAATCCAAGTTGTTAGGCAGTGACTGCTAAAATATGCATTCAATTTCAGACCTATATGAAAATATAAATTGCGCTCTAAACAAAAGAAAAGTATTTCGTCAGTGGAGGGAGAAGGGTTCATTTCCAAAGGATAAACAAAAGTACTACATGCCACTACTATTGCAAACAATGTAAAAAGCAAAAATACAGTTAACCAAAAGCTTCCCAAAACAATAAATAAAATCAGAGACTGGGGACTCAGGTGTTGTTATTTTGCCATAAGATATGTAAACAAATAAAAATAAGCTAGCCTGTCCATCTCTATGTGATAAAACTGATGTACAAATTTTCAAAAATTTATTTAAAAAGGAGAGATAATCAGGCTAGCTTTTACAATTGAAACAAAAATCTTACCTTGTGAGTCTCTGTGAGCACCAACAGCCTCTTGTGCCGCTAAAAATACTTCATCTTGACTCTGATTACCCATATGCCATCCGCCAAATCCTGCAACAAAACAAATTTGAAAAAACTCATTTTTCACACTTAGGAACATGATATATTGAATTTAGTGAATTGGTGTGTTTTAGAAATGCCAAACCTTATTTGAAGTACTTATTCATGTTTAACTTGAACATTCAAAATTTAAAAGTGAAACGAGAACTCATGTGCAACAGCAAAAAAAATGGTAACATAAGCTAGATCAAATATAGGATCAAACATATATTATCATTTTGAACTTTAGACAAAAACAGAGTTTTTGGAAGATATACTGATATATCCTAAAAGTACAGGAGATACCAGGGTATTTTTTAGACACATAAAAAGCACTCTTCCGCAAATGAGAAAAGGTATTGACAAAATGTATGTGATTATTTTTGCAATAAAAACTACTAAAAATATAGGTAATAAGGCATAAATTTGCTTTCACTTTTGTGCAAGAACTCATTACAGATGACTTCAGGATTTCACAAAAAAAGTATTTTATGATACAGACATTATATACACATGCTTTTGTGGAGATACACCATGCAGCAATAAAAATGAAAATTTGAAGATCTTGTAAGGTAAAGACTCTCAAATTTCCCGTTTTTGCAATTTTGTCTAAATCATAAAATACCATAAAATAATACAATTTAGAAAAGTACTTCTGAAACTTTTGATCCAAACTATTTCACCAATCTTTGTGCTTACAATGGCCTAGAGATGAGACAAACACTGCCAGATTCAGATAAAAAATGGCAAGCTTGATATTTCCATCACAAATATTTTCAAAATGTCAATACATACAAAAATCAATAATCCAAAGTTGAAGTAATTGTTAATATAAAAAATAGCAACACCGATAGTTTCAGGTTTTGATAAAAAAAAATACGTTTCTAATAAAGAAACATTAACACATGGTATTTGGAAGTACACCATGCAGAGACACAACAGAAAATTAGAAAATTCCACGAGGTAAATAAACACATTCAAATTTCCAGTGTTTGTGATTTTTGTCTAAATAATCATAAAAATTGTCAATTCAAGAAAGTTAGCTGCAAAGTATGAGTTTCTCACCTTGACTTGATCCTTCCCCTGCATTCCCGTGACTAGGTCCAGCTCCTGAATCATCCATTTGTTCCATGTTGCTCAAGTCATCATCATCCAAAGTCAAGTCCTCAATACTGTCTTCATTCATTTCCTCCACATATTCAGCCTTTGGTTCGAGCATTAATTCTGAATGAGTCTCTAATTTCTCTTTGATCATAGGAACTTGCGGGGCCTCATCACTGCTTTGCTTTAACCTAGCAGTGAGTATCTCTTGTTTTGTCTCTATGGTGTCAGGCACATCGGCATTCATTTTGGAGGTGGGTAACAAAGGAATGTTCTGGGTGGCAGGCAGGCTATGAGATTCGGATGAGTTTGAGGCGTCATGGTGGTTATCTAATTCTTCACTTTTGCGCCTCATCCGTTTTTTCTTTCGAGGCCCAGGTGACATGCTTCCCTCCCTGCTGTCATCTCTGCTTCGTTGCTCTATCGTTAGTCCCTGGACTTTTGGGATTGTGGAGGCAGGTTGAGGACTTTTTGGTGGAGGCGGTGCAGGCGCAGGTTTTCGTTCAGTCTCACCTTTCCTGTTATCTGACAGGCCTTTTATTTGCAGAGATTCTGCTGCTTTTAATAATGCGCCTAATTGGTCCTGCGATATGTTTACCTCACCCCTATACATGTAGTCCATCATTGCCTTCAGTTCTTGGAACTTGACATCTTTTAGGATGAGGATTGGATGCTTATCAAAGTGTTTTGATAATAGTGCCTGTAAAAAATAGAAACGCAGCTGGTTAGACATACAACCATTGTAAAAAAAATTTTAAAGGGAATTTATAGCTGCCGACAATTCAATTTTCAATACACTACAACCATTATTCATTATTCATAAAATCAATACTTTTTTGGATACAGTAAGAGGTCAAATTTCCATCTTTTACAGCAACTCCTTTTGGAATGAACATAAAGTAGGTCCAGTTCATAAGAAGTCACTTGCGTCTAACATTCAGTTGTGGTTAGCAAATAATTTTACATCTAGATAACATCTACCAACCACAAGTGAGCATTTTCATTACTACTATTCTGACCTTACTGTGATAGTATTGGGCAAAACATTGTTAGTTCAAGAGCAGATTATGACAAAAGTAATGAACCATTGTGAATTGAAAGATCAGTCTAGCTACCCTATCATAATTCACATAAACCAAAATAGAGTAGTTATGATTTATGTAAATTTGCCTGTTATGAAATGAAAAAAGTAGTTCAGTTCATATCAGGTAGCTTAAACTGTCTATTCCATCAACTTGTAAACTTCTTTCAGATAAGACGTATTTTTTAATTCACGGGTTGAGCCACGGGTGCAACCAATTGTCCAATTTTACTTCCTTTAAGTTCCATCTGAGCAACAGGTTGTACACCAAACTTGTCTGTATAGTTTATAGACAATTTTGGTGGACAACCGGTCGCTCAGACGGCAATTAAAGGAAGTAAAATTGGATAATTGGTTGCACAGTTGGCTCAACCGGTGAATTAAAAAATACGCCTTAAAATCAAAAATATTGACAGCAACAAGTTATGAACCAAATTTTTTATATTAGTTCATAAAAATCAAATTAACAGTAGATTTGATTTATGTGAACCACAAGATATGATCAATTCATAACTTGTTATCAGCAATATTAGGCTGGACTCAAATTTTCAATTAAAATTGGCAACATGTCGAGCCCTTGTAGACCAGAAGACATTTGATGTGAAATACAATTCTGTAATATTATGAAGCTTTTTCAATATAAAAACATAAGAAGCAAAAAAGCAAAGTCCAACTTCCTGATTAATGACAATTTATAGATGACCTAACTGTAAACCATTTCATAACTGTACCAGGAGTGCAATGACCCCTTGCAACCCGACTCATAACTATTCAAAAAAGATGCTGCTGTTTATATGGAAACAATAGGATACAGCAGATTTATATATAAATATTTATAGTTGCTTAATAGTAGCATCTATCACCTAGTAGTAGTAGCCTCTAAATGAGAGCGATACATTTCAATACGTTAATTTGGCTCCTTATGTTTTCAAAACTGTCATACCCCATAAAAACTGAAAACACTTTGTGGACATGAAAATCATATTTACCTCAAAATATGGACTGCACGCTGATAAGACGACTTTGTGTGCATTCAGGAACTTTCCCTCGGCGGCCAGCGTGCAGTCTACTAGCGTTCCATTTTCTAATAATGTGTCAAAGACCGCTACTAGAGTACTTTGGTGATTGTTCCACCTCAAGCAGAACTGCTGATCGTCCTCCATTTTTCTGTAACAAAAGTAAATGTTAAAACACCTATCAAAACTAACCACGATGACTGGTTCCTACAACAATCTCAATTTTACAGAGACTTGATACAACTTTTCGGAAATGCTTCAAGATCAGGGAACTATTACTCAATCCCCCATAACCTGACGTCTTGCTTGAATACACCGAAATCTCAAAGTTAAAACAGTACCCAAATATCTATGAAATCACAAGGATGCCGGCGTGGTCACATAAAATAGAGGACCAACTCAAAACGGAGGAAAACCCAGCTCTGCATAAAAGAGAATTGGCTCAACTAGGTCAGGACCTAGCTTACAAATTTTCAAAGTTAAAACCGTACCCAAATCACTATAATATATCAGACTGTGACCAAGTTCTAGCCGGATGCCAACGTGGTCACATAAAATGGAGGACAAACTCAAAATGGAGGAACCCAGCGATGGAAAGAGGCTTGGCTCAACCTGGTTGGGGCCCGAAACGCTCCACGCAAGCGTGATCAGCTTTAGAACAGGATACACGTCATCCAAAAGTGGGGGAAGGGAAAGCCAAGCGTCCGCTTTCTGGTACCACAATGGCGGCTTTTCCGAACCACACGGGAAAATGGCGAAGCATCGGTACGACGAAACTCAATGATAATTACATCTATCCCTTAAATCACTAAAAAATACACCGAAAATCCTTCCAAAAGTTACCGGAACATGTTTGTTTACTATGAGCTTTACCCATACACGATTTTACCACAGAAAAGCTTTGATGGTGCTAAAGCTGCCCCAACCCACATCATTCAGAGTCCCATACTCCGAAAATACATGAAAAAATATGACGGAAAATGCATAAAATGAAAAGGATCAATCATATTTACCTATTTTGGCACACTATAAACTAAATATCACAATATTTTTCACTTGTATTATATCTTTGCTGGAGACGACTAAAAACAATGTTAAGTCATCATAGGGCGGCTTTGAACTAAAAGCGACGATCGACAGGATCAGGATTTCTGCACCGAGCTGGTATCCGGACCAGTAGAAACGAAATGCAAGTGACGTAATCAGAATGCGCAGTAGGCAGTTACGCAGCTACGCCAACCGAACAACCAATGAGCGCGCGAGCTTTCGCTGTTAGCTGGACTACGGGACAAGCTTGGAGAAACTGGCGCGCTGCGTCTGGCCCGGATACACAGTTTGGTGAAGTAGAAACTCTGGCAAAAACGGATAGAGGTGAGGGAGAGAGAGAGAGAGAACGGATAAACGTTGAAAGAGAGCAAAGAGATGAGAGGAAGAGAAACGAATTCAATGCACAACAAAATAGTAATCCTGTCTCTTCTAATCGTACGGTCTGTTTTGTATTTGCGGTCTTGATCTTATTTTTTCCCTCATCGCGAACTTTAATCCCGTGTTTGTTTTGCATGTTCAATTGTGTCATCTGGACATTCACGGCTAAACAGGTAAGATTCCTGTTTATTGCCTGATTTTCCATTTCATTTCTTGATTTCCATTCTCAACCATACTCATCTCATTTTCTTTCACTTTCTCCTGAATGTTGTCTGACGAAAACAGTTTCGATATTTGAGGTTAAGTATGTTGAGAAATATAGGACAACATAAAGAATTAGGATTTAAAAGGAAGGAGTAAGAATATTTTGGCGCGACCTTTACGATTACGCATACACCTTTGCGTGTGCGTAAACAGGTTTCAGCACAGCCAAATTTCGGGATAAAAACAAAATAAAAGAAATGGTATAACTGTACAATAATAATTCGCCATGCCATAACGATTATGGTACCACCTATTCCAGATTCTCAATGAGGTACTAGGTACTTATCAGTTAGGCATAATTTTAAGTTTTCATGTGATAAATGATAATGTGGTTGAAACTGATATTATCTGCAAACACAAACATAAGCATTATTATAAGCTAATGAAAAATATTTTTCTTGAATTACTAGAATACATTCACTGAAACTAGGCACCTACGTAGGTAGGTACTTTCATTGTACGGAGAATATCTAGTTGTTAGGTACTTGAAAGAAGAAAGATGATTTACTCCTAATTTCTGCGTTAACAACATGACCAGTAATTCCTGATAAGACAAAAAAGCGTGGTATTTCTGTCCATATATGTATTCATTTTCTAGTCATCCCAGCTATTTCACCATTTGATATTAAATAAGGATCGCACAAAATCATTTTTTTTTTCATAATGTGCCTTGTATTGTTACTGATAAAAAACCAAAGAAAGCAAATTGAAACATGAATGTGATATTCATTTCTTATCGAACATGAAGTCATGAACCTGAAGAGAAGAAACCGAATCCCTTAACAATGTTGCCATGTTTCTATTACAAGCATCTGTTATTTTCGACATCACGCCTTCTTGGTCCACATTACAGAAATGGTATGAAGTGACAAAAGTACAGTTTAAATATGTTTTTGATACATAAACGTTTTTTAGGCCTGGATGTTTGGGTCATTTATCGTCGATCGCAACCTGTAGCAAGCGTGTTTTCTAATTCACGGCTTAAGAACTCCAAAGCTACCATTTGCGTTCGGATCATGCTAAACTGCGAATAGTAACATAGGTACCACATACTTTTTCGATCGATTGTAGAAAGAAAATATTTGAAATTTCAGTAGGCATCAGATTCTTTCATACTATTGACTGTTATTTCATTGTTAGCTGTAAGTACCTAAATTCGTTATTGTTACTATACCTCCAAGTTGTTTGTCATTTTATAGTGTAATCAAAACAGTTTGGAGTTGCTTTCCAGTTGTTTTTGGATTGAGAGTGATTGGTGATATGCTTCCCAACAGCTCTAGAAATAATGCATGAGAATACAACGTGCAATGGAACAGTATTGGTGTTGAGTACTACTGATTACTCCAAGCATATAGCCACAACGCCATCTACGAGACGGTAACCTTTTCACATTGGGCTTCTAATTATTGTGAAGAGGAGAAAAATACCTGAAAAATTCTCATAGATGACGATACAGTATCTCATTTCATCTCGGATAATTTTTCGGACGCGCGAATATAGTATTTGTATTAGGTTGGCTATCTTCAGGTAGAATACGTCAATCAATGGCATAATATAGTATATGTCTATAAACAACCTTATACAACGTTGTTTCATACTTTTAGCAAATATCAGTACGCTGTAGGTCTAGTCATTTGGAGACAGACGACGAAAAGCAAACAGGGGAATATGGGTCTACTGCAAGTTTGAAACGTTTTCAGCAACCAAAAAAGTACTCCACGTTATGTTATTATGTACTTACTGAATCACAAAGCACCGCAATAACAATGAAACCATTTGACAGAGGGTACTGCTAACATGACGTATATTCTGGTTAAATTCTAAAAGATTTGATCTATTAGAGCTTATTGAAATCAGGTGCCCCAAGTGCTATGTTAAGCAAGTATTCACGACAGTTATTGGGCTCAAGCGTATGGACTTCTTAACACAAATGATAGGAAGGTCTGCATGTTAGCTTACTGATGCTTACTGTCGTTTAAAAATGGCATTTATCCTAAGGAAAGAAAAACCGCTCAGTCTGGCAACCCCGGGACCTCTTGCTGTGGTCGCACATTTTCAGTCTTCATTTCCTTTGCCTCCATATACTTGGCTGACGGTCTGGGAGCGTTTCTATTCTGCTTTATCGATTATCTTTTTTTGCCTGCCCAACCAAAAGATCTTTCGAGGGTCTTGATTCGGTAGGGGCCTGAGCCGGCCGGTAATGTTAGGGGACGGAGCAGGGTTGAGGATAGATCAATACCTAGTTCTATGTGTTTGGGGGTGATTCACACACCGTGTTCGTATTTGCTGTGATTTTATTAAAAGTATTCTTCGCTGCAGCACTTTCTTTAAAAGGGCTGAATTTTAGAATGAAACGGAGTCCCCTTTTGTTAAAAACATTGTTCCCGGCTCCCTATTTACCCCTACTTATCACCCAAACGAAAATAATGTCAAAAATTGTATACAAGTAACTGATGTTTTACAAATATTATTTTACCTTAGCTTTTAAATTTAAATTAAATATATTAAAAAAGCTTAACAGTCATTTTAATAATTTCGATTTGTCCCACTGGACTTATTGATATTCAGTTTTATGTTTCATTTTTTGGAAAGTTCCGGCGATCCCCTCATTGCGACACCCCAGAGGGTCACAACCTATACTTTGGGAAAGACTGTTTTATAATAAGATATCCATGAGCTTAGGGAAGCTAAGAGCGTTTTCGCAAATCCGATTTTGGAAAGGTTGCTGTATATATTGAGTGCCATATTTGGGTCTAATTATAACAAATGATTTGTAGTAGCAGATGCATACAAACTTATACTAAAATACGTCAACAACAACATTTTCCTGTTTTCACGAGCATTCAAGTATGTATATGTAGTTTAGTTAGTAGAGATGGATTTATATATTCTTAAAGTGAATGCAAAGGCCTCAAAATAAAAAATTCTGGGTAACTTTTTTATCGAACTTCAAAGATATAAGTCTATAGAGGAATTGGGAGAGGGATAAAAACACCTAGCTTTTAGCTTTTAATTCTGATTTCAAATATTATAGGATGTCATATATTATTTCAAGAATTATTTCTTGAAGCCTTGAAGTTACCATATAGTCATTTATTTCATCGAATGACGAACCACACAATGTAACACATTTATATTATTTAAGGATAATCATAAAGACATCGAAAACGGTATGATTTTAAAGAAATGAGAGCTGAAACGTTAGATCGACATTCTAATTATGCCACCGTGTAGAAGAGACAAAGTGGTAATGTTATTGTGTTATTTGATTGAAATTTGTAGTCAATGAGGATGTTTGACAAGTTTTGTTCCGGAGAAAAGCCAGGAAAAAATTTAAACGACTTAGAATACATAACAATAACAATAATTTGAATTTCCAAATGGACCAAGTTAGACTTTTCATTTTGCCCCCATAAAGTACTCCGCGTCGTATATTTATCATGAGATGTGATATCTATTGACCGTGTAGCCTGGACGTCAGCAATTATTGATGCATAATGTTACGCAGAAATCCACTGATAGTACGGACCACAGTAAATACGTGTAACATTCGCTTTTCCGTTTCCGAGATCCTAAAGGCGAGGTTTGAATTTGAAACATACGTAACATATAGTGCGTTTAGCAAAATTAAGTTCATGTCTAACATGGATTTCAATTAATCCAAGTAATTTCTTATTTAATAGATATTGATTCAGATTGTGGACAATGAATAATTAAATTTTTGTATAAAATGTTCTCTCCCCCTTGCCTCCCCTTGGTTACGCACTGGGGTTAGCAGTGATTAACCGGTGCAAATTTATTTAAGTAATTTTTTTAAAACAAATTTCTACCGCGTACTCGGTGAACTACTTTACGGTTATGTGAGCTACTTAAGTAATTGGATTTGCATTTTGAAGGGCCCTTATTCTCAAAATTGATTCACTTTTCCAAGAAATTAACGCTTCTCAAAAAAAGTTTCTTCTGAAATATTTTGTTTTTTTAAACGTTTGGGAACAGCTTGGCATATGTTTTTACTGTGAGTCTTTCATATTTGATATGTTTTCCATTTTTCCTATCACAAGAAAATCACATTTTTGAGACACTCAAAAGAAATATACTCAACAACTTAAATCTACCTATTTTTAGTTGCTCAAATTTCGAAAGACTACCTAACAGAATTGCTACCATGACATGGCCGGCACAGTTACTATATTTCAATACTGGTTTCTTAGGCTGCCTGTCAGAGAAGGCTACACAAAAGAAACACATAACTGCTGGCTGGCGTGGCGGGACCAATTCTTATTTGGGAAGGCTTAAACCAAAATTATCACATTTGAGCAAAGGTTATCT